AGCAGAAAGGGTGCCAGCATCAGCTGTCACCTCTGCGTCCAGAGCGTTCTTAGCAAGCCTGCCAGGAGAAGCCTGAGAGCTATCAGACGACCGTGGGGGCAACCCGCGGCCCCTGTTTTGCCCTGCTGGTGTGACGGTCGACGTAGTACTGGGCCGACCCACTGCCCCGTTCCTGTTGTCCACTGCACGAGAAACGTGCTGCTTCCTCGGAGCGAAGTCCTCCCCAGAGTGGAAGAGCAAGGGGCTTGCTTCCCTGCCTGGGGGGACGGCGCAGAAGGAAGGAACAGTGGAGTCGCCACTATCGCCTCAGTGGCACGACCTGGGTCCTTGGTACCACAGGGTGTGTCAGCTACTTTTGCAGCTGAGAGTGAACGCCAAGGCAGAGAAATCTTCAGCCTGAGCGTGTGGGACTACAGGGGTTTCCCATGATCTTGAAAAGACCCCTGGGTCCCCAGTGTCCCCTTGGACGATGCAGGCAGTGTTGCCATCCTCCGCGGTCGTTTCTTCCCGATTTTTATCGGAAAGTTCCCTAGATTTCTTCAGATTTTAAGAAAATGTGTTAATTTGCATCAATATTGAGTGTATCCTTATGGAGTAGCTTAAGAATAGATTCCTGTATTTGGGAGGCCATTTAAAGGTTAAATTTGATTCGTTAAAACATTTTTTACATAATTGAACTTTGTTACTTTGGCCTTGTGTGGCCCCCGAAATCGCTGTTGTTACCACTGGAGATTATCTCTGGTCCCAACAATATACAAAGAAGCCTTTGTCTCACTGCACTCGGCCGGCACGAGGAGGAGAAAGGGAAGGAACGAGTCTTTAAAACCCTCTGAAACCCATTAGAAAACAAATCCTACATTCGAACAAATTTCTCTTTGCCCCTAAACGATAACAAAAAACCCTAGATCTAGAGAAAACTTCCTAAGGTTCGCCGCACTGGGTGCAGGTCCCCTGCTGTGCACCTCTTCGGCGAAACAAAACCTATCTGAAAAGCTGAAATGCGACGCTTCGCATCCTGATAAGTAATGTTCTCCTTCACCTTGAGCGCAAGAATTTCGTTTTCTTTTTTGAAGTGTGCATAAGCCCTTGAGTGTGCAGGGGGGTCACCTGTGTGTCACCAGTTGGTCAACAGGGTGGTCACCAGTCGGCACACTTGTAGTTTGGTATGCAAGCATCAGCAGGGTAGTCTTTGCCACTACATCACGCTCAGGTCTCACGACCACGGCAAGCGCACGAGCCATGACCATAGCGCTGGCAGCGGAAGCAGCTTATGTGTTTCGGAATGTACGGCAGCACTCTGAAATTTATGTAGCCTGCTTTTGCTGAAGGCGGCAAAGTATTTCTATCGAAGGTAAAAATTATGCATCTGGGCCGTTCGTTCCTCGCCATCCCCGTAGGATTTTGATTCGTTTTGCTTCAACAACACCTTCAGCTTGCAGGTCCTCCACAATTTCTTCGTCGGAGTTGTCTTCCAGATTATCCTCTGATATTATCACACCGCAGATGAAATCTAGTGCGTGGGAGGAGAAACAGTCACTTTGAGGTCATGGACTGTTTGAATATGCAGCAGAGCTGTGGCCTGGAATTTTTTTTAAATACCTCCACAAGAAGGTCACCTAAAACGAGCTTCTTAGCTTCACATTTCCCTCCTAGTGTGTGCTTTGGAGCACTTTAGCAACAATAAAAGGAGACACCTTGGACGGTGGTTTAGCAGTGTCCTCAGAGTGTAGTACGAAAAAAAAAACTGGTAAAGTAGTCATTTGAGATGTCTTTGTTCATGAACGTTGAAAGGACTTCCGTGCGGACTCTTTTAAGAGGCCGATCAGGTTGTTTTTGCTTGGAGCCCGTACAGATGGAAAGGTGTTCAGAGTCTGCGGCGCACCGCCCACTACCAAGCCCAACAAGGGGTTAGGTAGTGTGCCATAACAAGAATGGCTTGGCTGGCCCAATTGCGCTACCAGTGCTGCCTAGAAACTTACAACCAAGTGTGGGTCTAGAGATAGTTCCGTCATTGCTTAAAGGGACACTGACACCCCCCAAAATTTTTTTTAATTTTTTGCCAGGCGCTTCATTATGGTGTCGGAGGACTACCCAATTAATATTTTGCAACAGAGTAGCGTATTTTTTTTAATAAAACCAAAAGACGCAACTGTTCGAAACCGAAACCCGACGGAGGTCGGAGAAGTGGAGAGAAGAGAGTGAGTGGCGGAAGTCACGTGGCTACACCCGACCGTGTGTTTTTTTTTTTTTTTTTTTTTTTTTTTTTTTTCTCCTTCCCGGTAGCAGACGACATGCGGCGTATGGGAACTGCTCGCCGTGGGATTCTTTTGCAGTTATGTATGTTCCGCTCGTTGTTCTCTACTCCAAGATGAGTTGTTTTGTACATTGAGGAGTTGGAGATGAGTAGTGAGTGCCCGTGGTGAATTTTGATCGGCTCCGAAAAGAATACACCCAAGATGTTGCGTGAAGAGCTGGCTCACATGTCCCGCGTCCGAAACAGAAGTGGCATTGTGCGACAGAGTTTCCGAAAGATCAACGGGATCGGGACCAATGGCTGGCTGCAATTCCTGTAGACCATTTACGGGCACCTCGGAAAGCGGACGCTACCTGATTTATATGCTCCTTGCATTTTGTGGAAAGTGATTACATTGAGTTCGCAGGTGTCAAAACGGAAATCCCATTGTTTTTTTTGTTTCTTCAGTAATAATTGTAAAAAAAAAAAGAAATGTAAACATCAAAAAATATATAGAAAAAAAAAAAAAAAAGCTTCACGGGTGATTGAACCCGGCTCTACCGGCGTGTGAAGAGGACGTCTTTCCCACTGAGCTACTGGGGCATATCGAAAGTGAGGTATCTTTTTCCTTAGTAATAATTTAGCCGATAAACTGTAAGTTGGAAAGTTTGCTGCCAATTTTCCTCTAGCAAAAGCACTCCCGGGTCGAAGTCGGGATGCACCACGCATTGGCGACATTCTCACCTAGTAAAGAAATCGTACGCGTGCATATTCCACTCGAAGTAGACACGTCGCGCTTGACGTTTGCGCGAGCGATGTCTTCAGCCACAAGAAGGGAGCGACCGGAGCGACGGCTCGGCGACGTCTTCGTGCAAATCGGCTTGGTGGCCGGGCGTGTCGTACGGGATGAATACCAATTCTTTTGATCAGTCCCAAATTTCTCTTTTAAAAGTAGACAGAATTCGCCGGTACCGCGAACGACAGTTCTGAAATAGAGGTCCCACGCCCGTCGTCCGCTGCCATCGCCGTCCCTGCGAGTCCCACGATACGCGAAACGACGCACGCACAGAATGCTTCCGGTTGTCTGTGGAACCTTTTTTTTTTTTTTTCAATCAACGTATTTGCAGCTTTTTAGAAGCCACAAAAAATGGGTTTCATATTTTTTTTTCTATTTTTAATATTGGGTGTGTGCTTTCAGTGACCCACGACTTTAATTAAATTTGGTGGTCGCATCGATACCTTAGAAAACGGCCCGTGACCGCGGAAAAGAGAGTGAGCGAGACTCGAACCGGCCAGTTCTTGATCGGCGGTTTTCGGGCGGAAAGAAACCGAATTTCGAGCCGCAAATTCTGTTCTGGGTAGTTGAGCTCTCATATGTCACGTACAACTAAAAACCTCGGCGAGCATAAATACCCTGTCAGTGTCCCTTTAAGGTTAGCCCTTGCCGCCAAAGAAGGTAAAAGAGGAAAGAAAGGAAGGAAGAAATAAAAGACAAATGTACAAGAGGAGAACAAAGGCGACTGATTGAATCATCCTGGTCGGACCAAAGCCAGGACACCAATCTACGAGAAGCAAAGGCCCGACGCGGTATATATTGTATTCCTAACGAGCGTGTTGGTAAGATGTACTAGATAACAGAAAGTATAAAACAGAGAGGACGAAACACAGATTCGTCTGTGTTTCGTCCTCTGTTTTATACTTTCTGTTATCTAGTCCGGTATATAGTGCCTTGCCCCGGGGGGACCAGAAGGGTCCAAACGTACCCTGAGATCAGCTCAACCACCAAGATCCCCCTTTCTCGGACACGGGTTAAGCCACGCACAGCCAGGCGTGAGTGGGTGAACCCACATGGTTCGGGATTCGTGGTAACGCCACTCACCAAGCACCTACTAAAGCAGGTGCCCCGTCCCTGCGTGCGGGTACGGCGGTCCACGTGGCTGGGGTCCATGGTGACGCTCCTCACCAAGCACCTCACACCTAAGGTGCCGGCCCCCCCTGCCGGGGCTCGGGGTGCGTGGAAACACTACTCTCCAAACACCTGCTTTCACAGGTACCCCCATAAGGGGAATTCCGTAGGGCTGGATTTGGTGTTATCTAGCGGGGAACAGATTTCACATTAGTTAGGCGTAAGCGTTTGAGTGGGACTTAAATGGGCGACACGTTCAGCTGTGGGACCCAGTCGAGCCGAGCGATGACTAGAGGGAACGCTTTTCCTTCACAGAATGCCATCGCATTCTGCCTTTAAAAACGCACCACTTCTGCGCCATTCTTCCCAAGGCAGTGACCCCCACACGCACACCCGTCAGTTTTGAAAGGTGCACCCGAGAACGGGCGCGCAAACTCTTTCCGAGGATTCCAGCGGCGAGGGGACGTCGGTGGCTTTCAAGCCGGCGACAAGGTACTGCGAATACGCTTGTTTCTCTCGGCCAGGGGGCGCTGTAGCGTTCACGAGGCGCGACCACAAAAAAAGGCGCCTCCGCTACCGTCCGCGAAACGCGACCATTTAATGCTGACGTGAAACGGCGTCCTAGCGCCCCACCTTGCACGGGCGTAAACTAGCGTCTGTCAGCTTCCGTCGGCGTCTGCTCATGGTTCACGCACACTAAGAGAGTTTGAAAGGACGGAACGCTGCGCACAGTGGAAACGCGACCTAAAACAATCCGATGTTTCTCGCCAGGGAAGTTAAGAACTTGAGAACTACAGGTCTATAGGAAGAGACCGTCGGAAAAAAGCCACCCACCAAATAAGAAAAAAAGTCTGCACTCACGGGAATTCTATGTGGATATTTCTCCAAGATGGCGTCAGCTTCCTGCTTCCTCTGCTCTGCAAAAGCAAACAAGTGTCCACAAAAGGATTAGCGAATGCACATAAATATCTTACCAAGCGCCAAAACATTAGTCCACACACTGGAAAAAAAAAAGTGTCGTCTTACATTCTTTTGTCCCATATAATGCGCCCCAAAACTTCAGTTCGCCCTACAGCGCACTGGCGTCGAACAGACGGTCTCAGCTTTAAGGAGGCGCTTCATAGCCGTGTAATATAACGTATTACAACTTATTTTGTGGGTGTAATGTTGTTTGACTTTGGCCCTACAGTATTCACGAATTTGCATAACAGTATATGTCTGACATTTTGCAAAATGTTGCCATATGCGTATCACTATAGGTGTGCAGGTGTATTTATCTTCAAATAATTGTTTGACTTGTTTTGTATGCGTTTCCCATTTCGTGTTTATTCCTTACGCCATCGTTTATGTTCTCTGTTCATAGCGTGTTTTATTTCGTTACAGCGGTTATTTTGTTGGTTGGGTTGAAACTTTTGTTGCTCCTACGTTGTACTGTACGATTGGGGGGGGGGGGGGGGGGGGGGGGGGGGGGCAGAGGCTATGTCATGCATTGTGCCTTTATTTCTGCACCCACTGCGGAAACCAATCCGCAAAGCAAATTAAAAAAAAACAGCAAAGTACGTGTCAAAGACAACAGAACAAAAACAAAACAAAATATTGCAGAGGGCTAAGAAAACCCGATTATTATATATTTATTAGTTTTGCGGTCAGTAACACGTACATTAGTTATATTAATAACTTGTACCACTCGGCTATCAAGCTGCTGGTGAAAGTTAGTATCACCGGCTCGACGTCAGAGCGCTGTACATTGAAAAAAAATTGGGTTGTGTGTATGTTTATACAGCCTAAAACTTGGTCTGCCTCACAGGGGTGACGAGTCTCCCAGCTGTAGATGAGAAATTTAGCCAGTGCGGTACAGCCGCTAGCCTGGGGTCTTTAACGTGCATCACGCAGTAGTGGTGCACGACCGCACGCCGGTACGATGCTCATCCAGGTCGAAACGGGCAGGGCCCGGTGGGGATTGAACCCAGGATCCCTGGGTTCTGCAGCGCGAGCTTTCGCTCCACGTGCTCCGAGCTGGTGTGCGCTAGACCACTCGGCCACCGATCCCCCCGCTGTACATTGAACTGAAGTTTAGGGGTGTCTTATATGGGAATTTTCCCTTTTTTTTTTTACTGAGAGTGCAGGGGACAGGCGTCACGCTTTGTGTAGATGATTGCTTTAATGATAAATAAATGAGTAAACGATAGAATAATCATATCCTGAGATCTTTGTGCTGTGGTATTATCTCGGGGAGGTTCGGTATTCAGGTCTTTGACCAGCCCTGCACTCTCAGAAAGAAGGAAGGAAGGAATAAGGGTGTCACCTTACACCCTTTTGTCCCATATAATGCACCCCAAACCTTAAGTTCGACTTACAGCGCACTGACGTCGATCTGACGGTACTAACTTTCGCGAGTAACTTGATAGCCGTGTAATACAACTTATTGAAATAGCTAATGTAACGTTCGTTCTACTGACTATTACTGAGTACAACAAAAATAATTGGGGTTTTCTTGGCCTTACTGTTGTGAACGACCGTTCGGCCGTGGGCGATCTCCACACCGACGGCGTTCACCAGCTTATAGCCGCGCCCAACGTGGGGCATGCCACGCGAGTACGAACCCGCTTCGCGATAGAGCGTCTCGCCGCGAACGTGGTACTCCCAAAGGCAGTGGCCCCCAGGAGAACCACACTGTCAAACCTCAGTGTTTTCCTTTAGCATCAAGGACATACATATTTCCATAGCTCGCTAAAGAATATTGAATAGTCGTGAGTCTATAGCTGCGTAGTCATAAATTATTCTATTGCCAGGTATAGAAATCGGAATGGTCTAGACTCTATAGCTCTGAAGACATACTACACTTTTCTGTAGGTGGCTATAGCGTGTTTTATGGTTTCTTATAGCTGACCATAGAGGGCCATAGAAGGTGATAGCTCACAATAGGATTTTCCGTAGACGTCCATAGACCATTTTTGTATGGGCGGCGTGACGTAGGAGAGTTGAGTCCGTGTATACACAAACTCAACTCTGTGACGTCATGGCGCGGTGGTGGCGCGCCGGGCGCACTTCCGGTCTGGGGCTGTGTGTCCCCCTGCGCACTTCTGGTTTGGGGCTGTGTGTTTCCCTGCCATTTTTCGCGTTCGAACTTTCAATTCGAACGCGAAAATGGCAGGGGGACACACACCGACGCCGACAACATCGCATTTCAATGGTTTGTTTATGGGTGACGGTGAGCTACTTGCCCACACCCCCACTACGCATGCGCGGTGCCGGTGGCGTCCGCTAGGGGCGCTCCGGTTTGTTTGTAAACATGGGTTGGTGCATACTTGAGTCAGAGCGCAGTCAAAGGCTGCACGCAAATACAGGCACACAGGCTAAAAACGCACTGTGACTGTTTACCAGCCTTGAAGGTTGTGCTCAAGGAAAGACGATGAAAGCCGTGACGTTGCACAGTCAGCGTTATTTGATTGGCGAGATGAGCTGATAGCATGCACTGCACTCCGACAACGTAGACATTTCTTCTCCCTCTTCCTCTGACGCGCACACCTTTTATCTTCATGTTTTGCTTTTTTTTTTTTTTTTTACACTCGCGCGTCGACGTCAGCGCCGCCTGGATCGGCCCAAGATAGCCGGTGGCATTTTTCATCAAAGGATGTCGCTACTTTTCCGTACAAAGGGGCTTTTAAGTCACGTGGGTTCCATATCTGCTATGCGGAACGAAGAAATATTTAAGTCCTTTCAGCCTGGAAATATGCGAGAAAATATAAATGAGGGAAAAAAAGATTCTGTGACAATCACGCATTTTTCGTGAACGCATTTCAGCGGCGTTGAGAGATTAAAAACGATGTTTTACCGCATACCAGGAAAGGACGACATTCAAAATGGCTGCGCCCTTGCGGGAAAGATGCATAGACGTATAGACGTTTTGTTTTGTTTTGTTTTTTTGTTTTTGCTTTTTTCGTTCTCAGTAACGATGGTTCCATATCTGGTATGCGGAACGAAGAAATCTTAAAAGAAATTTTAACCTGGAAATATGCGAGAAAATATAGGTGAGGCAGAAAAATAAGAGATTTTGTGACAATCACGCGCTTTTCGTGAACACACTTCAGCGGCGCGTGGAGAGATCAAAAACGATGTTTCAACGCATACCAGGAAGTGACGACATTCGAGATGGCGGCGCCCTTGTGGAAAAAGCGCGTAAAAGACGACTTTGCTCAGGGATGCGTCAGCACATCCTATACACCACGCTCCATAAAAAAGGTGTATTTGCAGGTGTCATGCCTCGGAAACTCGAGGATGAGTAATATATATATATATATATATATATATATATATATATATATATATATATATATATATATATATATATATATATATATATATATATATATATATATATATATATCACTGCATTTAATAATATCACTTTGACAGAAACTTCCAGCCTTTCCATTCTGTTGAAGAAGGAAGACCAGCGGAGCTGTACGTTGCAAAGTAATGGCCGGCCGCAAGTCGGCAAGCCAGAGTGGAAAGGCTGCCGCCATCTATGAGCGACGGCGGCAACCAGATACCTGACTTGCCGCCGTTACTCATAGATGGCGGTAGGTGTCCAGAGTGCGGTGTCTTCATTTCTTTGTGGGGGACACGATCCTGGGGAAGCTAGCTCTTAACAACTTCGCTATAAAAAAAGAAAAAGAAAATTGCTGTAACTGACTAATATTCTCATTTTCGTGATTGAGGAAACTTCCTTGCTGTTCAAGCTGCATCGCGCTTCTGGTTTTTAGTGCATGCGTTTTTGGCGAGTGCATTTTTTTTTTTCAAATGCACCCGTCCTAATACTGCACTTTGTTAGTAGCTTTGGTTTCCTATAGTCGTGTAGTGCGTTTCAATGGGACTCGTATTTTTAATTTCATCTCGCTTTATCAACGCGTTCATTTTTTTTTCTAAATAATATAACACTCAAACAGACCGATTGCAACGTAGCCTTTGAATATCTCCCTTGACATTGATTAGTGCCACTACATAAGCTGCGCTTCAGAGTAACGACACTTGGCCATATTGTATCTTAAAACCATGGTTGCCAGTTATCTGAAGCTTCATCTAAAATCAGAAAAAAGCTTTTCAGTCCTCCACAAATGTTAAAACAGTTCGCCACAAAGCAAAGAAATATTAAACGAGCTGATCCTATTACCTTGTGTCACGCAACTAACCGAGCTCTATCATGATCTTGTCATGTCCGTAGATAAGGGTGAACAGACTGATTGTGTTTTTCTTGATTATAGGAAAGCGTTTGACACAGTGTCGCACTCGTTCTTACTTCACAAATTGAATTGTTTGAGCATAGATATTACCACACTAAAATGGATTCAGTCATACCTGAGTTCGCGTCAGCAATGTGTAATTTTAAACGGCGAGGCGTCTCATTTTGTTGAAGTTACGTCTGGTGTACCACAGGGGTCGGTTCTGGGGCCATTGTTATTCTTAATATTTATCAATGATATTCATGTCAATGTAACTTCCCAGCTGAGATTATTTGCTGATGATTGCGCTGTGTATACGCGTATAAAGAACGGGGAGGGTTCCGGACAACTGCAGGCTGACCTAGATCGAATAGAACAATGGTGCGGTGAATGGGGGATGCAACTTAACGTAAAGAAATGTGTTCATGTTAGCTTCACACGTAAAAAAAATAAATTTGACACACAGTATTATTTAAGCAATGAGCTAGTAACGAATGAGAATAAAGTAAAATACCTCGGAGTCATTTTGTCATCCGACTGCACGTGGGATTCGCAAATTGATGATGTCATTATGAGGGCGGGTCGCGCACTGGGCTTTGTCCAAAGAAACCTAAAAAACGCTACACAAAAAATAAAAGAACTAGCATATCTTGCCTATGTAAGGCCACTTCTAGATTACGCATGCACTGTGTGGGACCCTTCCAAAAAAAATCGCATTGATGGCTTGGAAAAAATACAAAATCGTGCCGCACGCTTCGTCCTGGGCCAGTACGACCGTTTTTCTAGTGTAACTAACATGAAACAATCACTAGGATGGGCGTCATTGGATCTTCGGCGAAAAAATTTACGGTTGAAATTTTTATACAACATTTATCATGAAGCTACTGGTATTAATAGCTCATCATACCTCTTAAAACCAAATTATTTTTCCAAACGTAATGATCATGTGCACAAGATACGCGAATACTGTACTAGGACGGAGCTCTGCAAAAATTCGTTTTTTGTGAGGACGGTCAAGGACTGGAACGCTTTACAGGAATGTATAGTTTGTGCTGCAAATGTTGATATGTTCTTTTCGTTATTATTCGCCCCCTGCAATAATGCCTTCTAGGCGCTGCAGGAGTTCCCTGAATAAATAAATAAATATAATGCTGAAGAAGTCGCACTTTCGAATCATGACGATCGGCAGTGGCGTCTGCTCTGCATACGAGCCAAAATGGCGGCGCCTACAACAATGTCCGGGAACGGAGTGCCGATACTCAAAGCGCAGCTCATTTAGTGGCTCTCTCATCGATTAATGCGGTACGAGCTTTTGATTTTTGCGTGATCGTTGGGAGGAAAAAATGTCGCCCCCGAGACATCCGATACTCACGTCTCGCCCATCAGAGTCTCCCGGTGTTGGACGGCTAACCGTGAGCTCAGGCCTAACGCTCGCGTTCCTTTGGCCACGCGCTTGAGCCACGCGCTCCGAAGCCTTGCAATCATCCCCCCTTCTCGGTGCTATGGTGCCTTGAGCGCTTGTTCGATTGGTGTATTTATAGCGTCCGATGCTGCCCGTATACATCAAAAGTGGCAACAAAAGACGTCACAGAAGACGGAGTGTCATGCTGTTGCATGTCGCCATCCTGGCGGTAGTTGGTCGTAGAAATCCTGCCGAGTAGCACGAGCGAACACGAGTATCGCCGTCGTCACGGCGTCGGAACTTCTGGCTTGCTGAAGCTTCCGTGAACTGTCACATTGGAGAGCGATTCAGCTGCAGAAGAACAGGCGTCTGCCACACAGACCACAGCTGTTGGGTCGCCGCCAGGATCGCGGCCGGCGACATCATGACACTTGCATGACGCCATCAGGCGGAAATCGAGGGGCCAGTTTTTTTTTGGACGCGGTAAACACACCAGCCTGATACGCGTTCCAGGCACCAAAGCGCGCGCTGTCAATTTGGAACAGGATGGTTCCCCGAAGTAGTCATATACCCGCGGACGAGAAAACGTGATCGCTTTTTTCGACGGTTATGATTTGGCCAGCATAACAGCCACGTCCATACACAATAAATGGCGTTGCCCCTTCCTTCGCCGTGCTGTCGATTTGGACAGTGTGGTTCACCGAAGTATAGTCATTAACCCGAGGACGAGAAAACATGATGGCTTTTTTCGACGACTCAGATATGCCCAGTATAGCCACGTCCACACACAATAAATGACGTTGTCCCGCCTTCATCGTGCTGTCGATTTGGACAGGAAGACAAGAAAAAACGTGATCGCTTTTCCGATGGTTCAGATTTGGAAGATTTGACCAGTAGCAGCCACGTCCACACACAATACATGATGCTGCCCCCCCCCCCCCCCCCCTTCGCCGTGCTGTCGATTTGGACAGTATGGTTCACCGAAGTATAGTCATTAACCCGAGGACGAGAAAACATGATCGCTTTTTTCGACGACTCAGATATGCCCAGTATAGCCACGTCCACACAAAATAAATGACGTTGTCCCGCATTCATCGTGCTGTCGATTTGGACAGGAAACGAGAAAAAACATGATCGCTTTTCCGATGGTTCAGATTTGGAAGATTTGACCAGTAGCAGCCACGTCCACACACAATACATGATGTTGCCCCCCCCCCCCCCCCCCCCTTCGCCGTGCTGTCGATTTGGATAGTATGGTTCACCGAAGTATAGTCATTAACCCGAGGACGAGAAAACATTATCACTTTTTTCGACGACTCAGATATGCCCAGTATAGCCACGTCCATACACAATAAATGACGTTGCCCCGCCTTCACCGTGCTGTCGATTTGGACAGTATGGTTCACCGAAGTATAGTCATTAACCCGAGGACGAGAAAACATGATCGCTTTTTTTCGACGACTCAGATATGCCCAGTATAGCCACGTCCACACACAATAAATGACGTTGCCCCGCCTTCACCGTGCTGTCGATTTGGACAGTATGGTTCACCGAAGTATAGTCATTAACCCGAGGACGAGAAAACGTTATCGCTTTTTTCGACGACTCAGATATGCCCAGTATAGCCACGTCCACACACAATAAATGACGTTGCCCCGCCTTCACCGTGCTGTCGATTTGGACAGTATGGTTCACCGAAGTATAGTCATTAACCCGAGGACGAGAAAACATGATGGCTTTTTTCGACGACTCAGATATGCCGAGTATAGCCACGTCCACACACAATAAATGACGTTGTCCCGCCTTCATCGTGCTGTCGATTTGGACAGGAAGACGAGAAAAAACATGATCGCTTTTCCGATGGTTCAGATTTGGAAGATTTGACCAGTAGCAGCCACGTCCACACACAATACATGATGTTGCCCCCCCCCCCCCTTCACCGTGCTGTCGATTTGGACAGGAGGACGAGAAAAAAACATGATCGCTTTTTTCGACGACTCAGATTTGGCCAGCTATAGCAGCCACGTCCACACACACAATAAATGATGTTGCCCCCCTTCGCCGTGCTCTCATTTGGACAGGAGGACGAGACAAAACATGATCGCTTTTTGACTTCAGAATTTGGCAGTATAGCAGCCACGTCTAACACACGATCAACGATGTTTGCGAGTGTGTCGATTTCACGTGCAACAAACACAATGCCCGAATCTTTCTCGTAGAGACCTGTTGTGAACCCAAAAATAACCGCGGAAGGCTTCGTATCGGGGCTGGTGTTTTGCACCAATCCCGTCCGTTGACGCGCCTGCAGCTGCCATCAAACTATGTCAAAGCTTTCAGCGCGAGTTGTGATGTCTCGTGAGGAGTAGCGGCCCACAAACCCCACACTCTCAAAACAAAAAGGGTGTCACCGTACATCCCCTTGGTCCATATAATGCACCGCAAAACTTCAATTCGACGTACAGCGATCTATAGTCGAACAGACGGCCCAAAACTTTACGAGTGGCTTGATAACGCTGCGATATAACTTATTAAATAGTTAAAGTAGGTATGAAAGACCACACAAAGAAAACACTGAGGTTTTGCAGTAGGGCCAAGAAAGCCCCGATGATTGTCTTTTTTTTTTTTTTCGTAGTCAGTAACACGTACATTAACGATTTTAATAAGTTGTGCCACACAGCTCTCAAGCCTTCTCGTGAAAGTTAGTACCGTCCGATCAACGTCAGTGCGTTGTAAGTCGAAGTGAAGTTTTGGGGTATGCTACATAGGACAAAGGGCGTAAAAATACACCCCTTAACGCGTACATTAGCCATTTTGATAAGTTGTACCACACGGCTATCAAGCCTCTCGTGAAAGTTAGCATCGTCAGATCGACGTCAGTGCGCTGTACGTCGAAGTGAACTTTTAGGGTGTATTATAGGGCACAGAGGGTGTAACAATACAGCCTCTTTTTTTCTGAAAGTGCAGGTGCGGACGCCTGCGGGGCCAGGCGGCGGGTACTCACTCACCGGGGCTGTTTTCGCTCTTGAATCGGAACCGAATGCCGTCCTCTTGGCTGCTCCGAGCTTTCCGCATCGCTCAGGCCACTGGCTGTCGGCGCTCGCTCGCTCGTTGTGCGCGCGCTATCGCGATGGGCACGATTGCATTGTCTCGCGGGGTCAAGCTGATTGATAATCGGGGACTGCGCTCGCGGAGCGGCGCATCTCGGCGTCGGGTGGCGCCTCTTGCCCGCACATCGCGTAAGTACGTCGCCGGATCTCTCTCTCCGTCGCGGGCAAGCTCCCGCCTGTCAAAGTCACACAACCAACGTTATACCGGAACACTCCGTTGGGAATCTCACCGTTGAAACCCGGGCCGCTGGCGTCCACCGAGACCGAGCTGAATACGACAACAGCGCTACGCTTTATCATTTGTCTGTACTGTGGTCACCTTGAGCTTTTTGAAAGCATGTTTTTGCGTAAAAACGAATGAAAAAAAAAAACACTTTTTGTAGTAACTTTTATTGGAGTTTAGTAAAAAATGAAAGGCGCGTGACGTTTTCTAAAATCTTTAGTTTGAAAAGTTTTGCGGCAAAATTAATATTATTTTTCTACAATCATGTCTCAGCGTTGATTTCAGGTAGCGCGTCCCGACCTAGGCGCATCCTAAAATATCGGTGGTAATCCGCGGCGCCTCCGCTTGGGAGACGGGGAGGGCAGCCCCTGAAACCCCTTCCACCGTATCTGTTTCGGCGCCAAAATGGCCGATTAAAGCTACAACAGACGTCACGTGCAGTTCCTTGAGTGGCCGCTGCGGGAGAAAGGGCGGCGTTGCGATCGCCAGTAGCTCGGTCCTCGAGTACGGATCGGCGCAACTTTTTCAGAGCAGGCTCTATGGAAGTTTCCCAACTGAGTTATTCTAGTAAAGTTGGCCACACAGAACTAGGGGTGTCGCGAACTTTTGTCGAACCGCATTTTTAGGTCGAACTTTCGGGGTTCAACCGGGTCGAACCGGTTCGACGAACCTTCGACCGGTTCGACTTTGTGGACAGTGTGGTCAGACCTTGGTACATGCATGTCTAGGTTTGGAGAATTTTTTTTTATGCAAAAAGGATTATTTTATTTTATGAACAGTTGCAATTAGAAGAAACTATTCTAATCACTGAAGAAGTTCATAACTTAATATTTTTGTACTGCATTAACTGAAAAAACCAATCAGCTCTGCTCTTGATTCATCCATTAGCCATCACCATCCAATTCGAAGCCAAACTGGACAGCATGTCACGCATGCGCAGAGCAGTCGAACCTGGGTCAAACCTTTGTCGAAATTTTCGCAAGAAGTTCGAAAAAAGTCGAACCTGGTCGAACTCGAACCTCGACTGGTTCGAGACACCCCTATTCAATTTGAACAAAAAGAAAACTACCCCTCCGTATCGAAGCGCCATCAAGCATGATTTCTCGCGTTCACTCACAGGTCGGGAAGGCCATCGCCATCTGCCGGTTCCGAATCACACTGACCAAGGGGTTCTCATCTTCAGGCAGGGGCCGCATTTTCGAATCTATCCGACGCGACGCGAGCTGCAGCGCTGTGACTAGGGGTGTCGCGAACCAGCCGAGGTTCGAGGTCGACCAGGTTCGACTTTTTAGAACTTTTAAACTCCGTTTCACCTTACGTCCGGACGCAGCGGACGGTACCAGCTATCCTAGCCAATCCCGCTCGTGAACGTAGCCCGTGATACGCTTTCCGCACGTCGCTGTGCCCCCTCTCCAAGGTCACGTGACACTCACACCGCTTTGGATTGGCTCCGATGAATCGTAGCATCCGCTGCGCTCGGACGTAAGGTGAAACGGAGTATAGTGGAAAGCTCGACGAACATTGTATTGAGGTTCGACTCGTGTGCGCACGCGCGACAGGCTGGCCAGTTGACTTCGGATTGGATGGTGATGGCTAAGGGATGACTGAAGGGCAGAGCTGATTGGTTATTTTAGTTAATGCAGTATAAAAAAAAAAAGTATTAACTTCTTCAGTGATTAGAATTTGTTTCTTTTCATTGCAACTGTTTATAAGATTAAAATAACCCTTTGCATAAAAAATAAATTCTCCAAACATAGACATGCCTGTATCAAGGACTGGCCACATTGTCCACAAAGTCGAACCGGTCGAATCTGGTTAAAAGTTCAAAGGTTCGTCGATTAGGTTTCGACCCAGTCAAACCCCGAAAGTTCGATCTAAAAATCCGGTTCGACAAAAGTTCGCGACACCCACAAAAATTTACATCCCTTGACGTTCGCTTGTTTCTCGATGCCCGAGGTTTCTGTGGAACGCGGCCCGACTGCAAAAGGTTCTCGGGCAAAGGGACCAGTTGTCAATACTCTGTTCACCATTAATACTGCAGCAAAAGCTACAAGCGAGAGCTAGCGCCCGCGCTCCTGCAGCTTTGAGACGTGCATTTTAAGCGCGAGGGCTGAAATTCTGCGGAAGAACGCTTAAAAGCAGCGACCTCGAGCTCTCGTGCTTGTGGCATTGGTATAGACGCTTCGTAGACGCGTTAGATTTGAGCCGCCATTGCTGACCTCTTGTCTTACCCAGATGCCGAGCCTGTGAAGCGATCATTGAGGAGCTTCCACAAAGGCCAATGCTGGGTAGAAGGAGATAGTAGAATCTAAAATGTCTATAAACTTCCCTGTTGTGGTCATGATTAAGTGAAGTAAACGAAATAAGCGAAGACAAAAATGGAAGGTCGGCTATGGCGGCACCCATGCACAGCTGCTGCAAAGTGTCTATACAGTCTCAGCCTAAGGGTGAACTAGTGCCTCTACAACATAAGCTACGCTTTAGGGTAACGACACTTGGCCATACTGTGGCTTAAAAAGATAATTGCCAGTTACCCGAAGTTTTATCTGAAATCACAGGAAACGCTTTTCCGCAGTTCGCGACGAAGCAAAGCAATATTACAACACCTTCCTAACACCGAATCTAATGCTGAGGAAGGCGCACTTTTTTAATAATGGCGATCGGGCAGTTTGCGTCTGCTCTAGCGGAAAAATTGCTCCGCTAAATCTAGCGGAAAAATCTTCCTGCTAAATCTAGCGCTAAATTTAGCGGAAAAACTCCCCCGCTAAGTCTAGCGGAAAAGCTTCCCCGCTAGATTTAGCGGAAAATTTCCCCGCTCAAATCTAGCGGAAAACTACGTGACACCCCCCCCCCCCCCCCCCCAAAAAAAAAAACCCCGAGGTCACGTGACTCCCCAAGGCCCCGTGACCTCCCGCCCCCCTCAGTACCCTTCCCTACTCCTCCTCAAGAGCTTCGCTCCAATTCGGCGTTACAGGGAGTTGTAAACGACTTTAATTTTTTCAGGTAACTTCTACTCAAATTACTAACTACTTCCAAAATCTAGCGCTAATTTTGCTCATAACAAAAGTTTGAGCGCAGAAATAAATAAGACGCCGGCAGATGAAGTGACATTCCCTAACAAGGGGCCCCCTCACATTCCGTTCCCACGCACTCGGCAACCGTAGAAACTGCATCACAGGCGTCCTTGGGCCAAGGTGGCGACGAGCAGCCAAAACATACCACCGGCGCGCACGGACGCAGGAACAGATGCTTAAAGGGATACTGATCGGAAATTTCGACCTCACATAAAAAGGCTGAACGAATAGGCGGGACATGCAAAACCCAAAAACATCACTCATACAGCGATATATTTAACGGACCGCCGTATTTTTGGGAAAGTAGTGCGCGATTAAAGACGGCCGACAAGGCCGACGAGAGAAGGCACGTCACGATTCCCATTCTCTGTGCTCCTCGCTACGTCCCGTCGAGCCGGTGAACCGAAGCGAGGAGGAGAGAAGCGAGGGCGCTTTCACTCATTCTCAAATTCTCCCGGAGGACAATGACGTCTTAGTTCTCGCTTGATCGCGCCCTCCTTTTCCAAAAGTACGGCCACTTGTTTGAGATATCGATCTATGAGTGGTGTCTTGGAGTTCGTACCGTCCCGCCCAACGCTTCTGCAGCCTTTTTTTGCGAAATCCAAATTTCTGTTCAGTGTCCCTTTAACAAGCCTTGGTCGGGTATTGACCTAATCCGGTAGTGCACACAGGCGCCGCGGCTCCAACTGCAACCGTGAAAGAAGGGGACACTCCGAGGGTTGTTGTTGTTGTTTTCATGTTGTCTGCCTTTAGTGAGATCTGACTCAAGCGGTTTGGGGGTTCTACCTAAGGCGGCACTGCAATCACTTCGCAGCTGGGCGCCTGTTCCATGCATGGTCGCCTTATCGTCAGCGCATACACCCTTGCAAAGCTGGACTCCCCCGCGCACGAACGCAGGCACGGATAATCCGTCTATGGGAGCACGTTCCCGCCCAGCTGGAGCTGTACGAGCGATGATGCTTGTTCACGTAATCCTTCGCGTCCTTCCGACCTTCCACGCCAGGGAGACCTCTTTGTTGAAAACGATTTAATTGTCAGGCGTGTCAGGCGCGTCAGGATACCGTAGTCGCCGGCGAGGATTGCGAGCCACCCTTGGGAGACGGTGTCAGCGGCGAAGTATACTTCGTTTCATCTTGTGTTAAACCGAAATAATTTTTTTTTTCTTCACTAGCGTAGCACTAGCACTGCAAAGAAAAACGCAGTCGTCCGAATGATCTCATTATCGTGGCGCGAGACTCGAGCCCTTGATGGTCAGGTGCACTCGCTCAGCGTACTCTCCGAAAGTCGGGGGAAATATAATAATAATAATTTAATAATGATAATGATAATAATAATAATGTTTTATTTTGCACCAAAAATACATAATGCAGGAGGCCTGCAGAAAAAGCTGTCAAATAGACAGCTTGACAAAGCCTAAGGCCCCCAGACTGGCAGCGTCGGGGCAAATATAAGGTGTTCGAGGCGGGGTTTAGGCCGCACGTCCGGAAGCTTCCTGGCTCGAGACGACGTCCATTCCCCGAAGTGAAGAACCCAGGGGTCCAGTGGAGGTGGGAGACTTGGTAACGTAATGAACGGTTTAATTACATGGTAGCGATACAGTCGACAAATCCAAGAGAGAACAACGGAGCAGCCTCGCGCTCCGCCTTATATAGGGTCCGTTTCTCCCTCACTCCTTGCCAGGGCAGCCCGTGCGATGCAGCAACCCGTCGTCCAGTGTGACGTAGCCAAAGGTCTCAGCAGTTAGGCCATGCCTCTCTCC